TACTCAGACTACAAGAGGTGGTGAAACCACCACCAGAGGCAGAGCTGCTCTCTGCTTCTCGTTTCCCCGGTAGAGTTAGGCAGCGGGGGCCACACAGAATAGTTTGTTTGTGTGCACAGGGCTGTCCTGTGAATCCTCCACTGAGATCCCGATGAAACATTCCCAGAGAGGCTGCAATCCTCTGCCCAAGCTTTCTGGGGACGGGCTGCCTTATTTCTTCCCCGGCGATCGGACACTTCCCCACGGCACTCAGCGGTTACTTCAGCAGGCACCATTGCAGCATCCAGGCTAGGAGCATACGGCCCCGGTGTGCAGCCAGACGCCTGCAGGGAGCTGCCCCCTTTCGGCCTCAGTTACCCTCGGCCGTGACAGATCAGCTAAAATCTCAGCGCCGGTGGGAAACGGTCGCAGGATTCACTTCCATTGCCCTATCCTCATATGCTCACGCCCATGCGCAATCGCCCTCTTGGTTCCCCAACTCACCTCCTCTCCCATGGGCTGGACTCGCCATGGCCGGGCCTGCGGCCGAGCTCTACGAAGCCCAAGGAGAAGTGAGAATGCAGCGCTTGCAACTGATGTGGCTCAAGGGGCGTGAGTTCAGTGTCCCGAGTTTCCCTTCATCTCGTGAATACACGCACAATTGTACCTCTGTGCACTGTGGCTTTGGCAGCTGGAAATGTGCCCAGGTGAGTCTCTCCATCCACACCAGCTCCTCCGCCAGCTCGCCCAGGCAAGGAGGAGACGGAAGAGGGTGCAGAACGATACGTTCCCAGGGATCCTGCAAGTCTCTGCTGCTTCAGACCCTGCAGCTGCTGAGCCGGTAGTTGAAGCGCTCCTTGCGGCTGTCGCGGTGGACGGCTCCATGAGCCGGGGAGCAAGGGGTGGGCTGGGTCTCCCAGGATCCCTATGGGCATTTCAGCAACCCCAATGGTAATCCACCGGTCTGGAAAGAAAGTCCCTGCTTGCAGCTTTCTGAACAGGCGTCTTGCACCTTCCCTGACCAGCCCACATTGACGGTAGAGCGTCCCCAGTTGTCCACCAGCGCTTGCAATACCATAGAAACGTCGCCCTTGCTGTTGATGTTCTCTGTGGCAAGGTACTCTGGTGCCAAAACAGGGCTTTGCGTGCCCTCTATCACCCCACCGCAGTGCGGGAACCCCTTTGCTGCAAAAGCCATCCACTATGTTCTGCACATTGCCCAGCGTCACAGTCCGGCACGGCAGGAGGTGATTAATGGCCCGGCACACTTGCATCACAACAGCCCCCGTGGTGGATTTCCCAACTCCAGATTGATTCCCGGCTGATTGGTGGCAATGGGGTGTTGCAAGTTTCCACAGAGCGATCGTCATTCGCTTCTCCACTGTCGGGGCAGCTCTCATTTGGTGTCCTGTGCCAGAGGGCTGGGGCGAGCTCTGCACACAGATCCAGGAACGAGGCCCTGCGCATCTGAAAGTTCTGCAGCCGCTGCTCATAATCCCAAACGTGCCTTACGATGCAATCCCATCAGTCAGTGCTTCTTTCTCGGGCCCAGAACCGGCGCTCTGCCGTCTGCAGCTGCTCCGTGAATGCCACCGACAACTTTGAATTGTTTCTTTCTACGTCTCACAGCAACCTGTCCTCCAAGGAATCGTCATGTTCCCCGCAGCTCCTCGGGCAGCTCTGCAAATACTTCAGGGTCAGGAGTCCCGTGCTCGCAACGCTCACCCCAATAGTGCAGAGCTGTGCGGGATCCAGGCTTCTCACGCAGATGGCAGACAGCGAGGAGGGACATGCAGGTGTGCAGGGAGTTTTGAAAAGAGGCGTGAAACATTATGGGATGCAGATGAAATGATGGGATGGAGAGCACTGCATTATGGGGCGTTAAAATCATGTTCCCAGGCACCCCATGAAGCATTGTAAAACCTTCCCAAAGCACCGTGCGCTAGATGGTGGCAAGTTGCACTGTGGGATAGCTACCCATGGTGCACTGCTCTCTGCACTGATGCAGGCGCTGCTCGTGAGGACGCACACCGTCGATGTATGGAGCGCACTGTGGACACACAAACGCAATTTCATTACTGTGGCAGCTGTATGCTGGTGTAACGTAGGTTGACATAATTTTGTAGTGTAGACATGGCCTAGATCATTCAAACTGGTTCTTGATATAAGAGTGATCAGGTAATTAGTTCTTAGTCCAGTTTGTTATGATTAGGTTGGCGTTTTAGGCAGATTAAAGGTGTCTGTGTAAGATAGAAGGGGTTGTTTTCTTGCTAGACAAAACCACAGATCTGGTTTGAACTAGCAAAACCGCTGCGAGGAAATAGATGAGAGAAGCAGTTCCTCGCTGACAAGCAAGTGCCCCAGGCACACAATGTAAACAGGGTCAAAAGCAGGAAGTTTTATCTCAGAAGGTCCGTCGGTAGCCCGAGATGACAGAACACCTGGTTAATATGGTGGGTCCTCTTCTGGCGCTACTTTAAGTAACCAGCTGTTAGTTTATATCGGGGGATCTCAAACTCCATTTACCTTAGGGCCAGTCCTCAAATCCTCCCAGCGGGCCAATAACGTCACTGAAGCTGGTGTTCAGAAAAGAAAACGTTTATAGCGTATTTTTTATTTTGAATTTCTCAGAAATAATAAAACTGTCGTCCGACTTGATACAATTCTTCGCCTGCCAGAGAGTTGTTAGTGCTGGCCAGGCACCTGGCCACGCTTCAGTCCTGTCAGTGTGTTGACGTTTGGCCTCAGTGACTGAGCAGCTGAAACCTTCAGGATGGCAGCAAAGTGTGCGTCAGATAGTGGTGTTCGGGATTTAGACGCGTTTATATTCATTGTGGAAAAACGTGACGCTGATGTAATGGCTGACTCTGCCCGGCGACTAGTGATGCTGCCTCCGTGGCTGGTAGTGATAGTGTCTCTGTCCCTCTCCCCCAGCCAATGGGAGCTGTGGGGGGCAGGCCGCAGTGGGGAGGTTCTCGGGATGGCCCGCGGGCCGGGACTTTGAGAGCCCTGGTTTATATCATGTGTTGCTGGGTTTATAGTTATGCTCAATAGCGCACACGGGACGTATTACTCTGCCCAAGTGGACCAGCCTTTGGAAAGAAACGTGCTTTCAGCTAAATGTCAACTCAGAGCCGTATTCATAGAAAAGGATCCATATTTCCGACAGCGGGAAAAGGGGTTTTAACAGAGCTGCTCAGAGACCGGGGGATGGTTTCTCTGGAATATATTGACTTTTGGGTGGGGGGAAATGGAAACATGAAATTTCTGAGCTGAAAACCAAAAGGAACAGTCACTTCCCGTACAGCTGGAGATACGCCGAGTAATCCACTTGGACAGGCTCTGGGATGACATGACCAGGCCTTTCCATCTACCTGATATGGCTGCAAAGAGGTGAGGAGAAAGTCTGAAGAGCTGGGTCCTGTCTGGTACAGTCTGAGGGTAACAGCACCTTTGACCCGTTCCGTGGCCTCTGTAGAAATGCCGGTTCAGGTCTCAGGCCTCCAGCTGTCACCTCTGTCTGGGCAGGGGCCCGTGTCCCACTGCCTTCTGACTGGAGGTTTCGGGTGCAGCCCCCTGTAGTTCACTGGGATATCCCCAGCAGCCGGTCTGCCTTAAGGCCAGCACCTGCACCATGGTTACTCTCCATAGACACGACAAGTGATTTACCAGTGACCCAAACGGTGTCTCCAAAGCGAGCTCCTTATTCAGGATAAAAGCCTCCAGAGAAAACATGTAAACAGTAAATGGATTTACAGGGACCCTGAATGTACTGGAAATCCCCCATCAGGCAGGCTAAAATCCCAACTCTTCCTTGGACTCGGGCCCTTGGACCAAAAGTTCTGTCCATTTGGTGTATCAGAAAGAGGCCCTGAGGCTGGATAAACTCAGCCTTGTATAACAAAAGCCTTCAGTCTCTGGAAAACTCAGCCTGACCCAGCACATACAAACCTCTCCAGCGGGTGGTGCCTCTCTGGAGCTGTTAACAATCATAGGGGTAATGAGTATCAGAGGGGTAGCCGTGTTAGTCTGAATCTGTAAAAAGCAACAGAGGCATCTTGCATCTGAAGAAGTGAGGTTCTTACCCACGAAAGCTTATGCTCCCAATACTTCTGTTAGTCTCAAAGGTGCCACAGGACCCTCTGTTGCTTTTTATAGGGGTAATGAACACCCCACGTTGTTGTTAGTTCCTGGGGGAGCCCTTAACATGTCCCACAGAGCAGAAGAAAATCATACAAACCAGCCATAGATTTCATAGCGTGGTTCCCAAAGATACGGCCTGTGAAGATGAGGCAAGCCAGCACCTTATGGAAGTCCCTGACTGAGATCGAGGCAGCCAAGGCGGGAAGAGAACGACTGATAACAAACCGACATTTGACCCAGGCCGTAGCTTGTAGAGTTAAGTTGAGCCACTAGGAAGCGAATTTCACTTTTATTTGCTTGTAACCGCTGTGTCTTTATTGCACGTACCTGAACTCACTTCGAACGATCTCACCAGCAACGCTGAACATGCAAAGCTCGGTTACAGCAGCAGCTGGGGGTAAATCCTGCGCTTTGCTCTATGTAAGGGAGCGAGGGACATTACTACGTCTCTGAGGGGCCCCGGACAGGGCTGGCACTTCAGGGCAGCCGGGCTGGGGGAAATTCAGCACTGAGGGCGCTGGGCTCACCCTGCGAGTAGTCACCAGGGCTGGCGGAGACCAACGTGTGGCCGTGTGTAAGAAGGAGGCCCCTGGGGTCAGAGCGCCGATCTAGGGCTGCACGGCACCCAGGGAGCTACACGCCCGTCTGCTGGCTGTGGGTGTCCGGGCTGGGACAGCAGAGACACATTTAAGACACCCAGGATTACAAGGCGGGTGGTGACACCACCTCTCCCTGGTCTGAATTGACCCCCCGAAAGGTGACGGCACTGGGCTGGGGAGTCGGGATTACGGGAGGGAGATGGAGTGGAAGGACTCCGATTACAGCGGTGTCTATGTGTTTGCAGCAGTGGGAGGGTTAAAGTGAGCCGGGAGTTAAGAGAAACTCAGCCAGTCCTGGATTCCCTGGGATCTGGAGGGAGACACCAAGTCCGGACTCAGGACGCTAGGAAATCATGGAGAATTCCTTTATCTTTTTTTATTGAGCAAAATAAAAATCACATTGAGGGGAAATCAAAAGCACAAGCCCTGTAAAAGCTCAGCCACGCGTGTGCTAAAGCCCTTAGCAAATCAAAACGCTCCTGAGAAAGTTAATATGATTGATACCAGGGACGGGTTAGTGGGGCAGAGGGGGCTTAGGTGCAGAGTGGGGTTTCACTAGTCTAAACAGAGACAATGGCTGTTTGATCTCTCCTGGGGGGGCTGGGATCCCGCTCACAATGAGGCCAAGATTTTGAAAAGTAATTTACGGCGCTGGGATTTCAGAAAGTGACTGCAAATCAGCTCTCTCCATTTGGGCACCCCAAATCACTCGTCGCTTTGGAAAACCCGAGCCCTGGTCTCTGTGTTATAGGGGGTCTGGTGCCGGTCCTGTAGCAAGAAATGCCGGGCAACAGAAGGGTGGGGAGGATCTGTTAGCTCCTCTTTTTCTAGTGTGTTTTGGTTTTTATCCCATGCCCATCACCGTGGTGTTGAGCGCTCTCTGGTCATGTCTCCCTGAGTTTGCTGATACAACGCCAAGCAGGACTGATCCCTCTGTGTAGATCAAGGCAAAATGCAGAGAGCTGAGACAATGAAATACCCCAATGGTGACTTACAGAAGGATGATGTTTGGAAGGGAGGGTTTTCTGAAGGACTGGCTGGGAAAACCCTCAATAGTTCAGGGAAACAGTTTGAATGTTGTTAGGGCAGAAGCCACCAGATGATGCTGTTAAGACGTCTTAAATGTTTTTTTCTTAGTGTGTGAGCAAGTGCTCAGTCTTTGGAAGAGATGTAGGACCATTGGGCTGGAAGGGACCCTGAGAGGTCATCAAGTCCAGCCCCCTGCACTGAGGCAGGGCCAACTAAACCTAGACCATCCCTGGCAGGTGTTTGTCCAACCTGTTCTTAAAAATCTCCAATAATGGGAATTCCACAATTGTGGTGGTGTTAGTTTAGGGAAGCAGGCTTTCTGGGGGCCGCTGTTGCAAGCAGCAGGAGAGTTTGTTCCTGCCTCTGTCTCTCTAACTAGACTCCAATCTGGGGGCAAAGTTGCTCCTTGGGACCAGACATTGGTGTTAGGTCTCTGAAAGAAGGGATTGCCTACATGCCATTTGTGCCCACCTCTGTGCCAGGACTGGTGTATCTTGTATAATATAAAGGTGCACTAAGAAAACACCCAGGCTCTGGGTCACTGATTTCTCCTCCATCAGGCAGCTGACCTGCAAAGCCCTGAATTTGGCTGCTGCTCAGCAAAGCGGGGGACAAGTCATTCGTTGTCTCAGCTCACTGTGTTTTCAATGCCCCTCCCCCCCGCCCGTCTGGATGTAGCATAACAGCTGGGCCATGTAACAGCGTCTGGCACTTGGAGCAGAAGAACCTCATACTGTACAATCCGGAGGTCCCTGGTTTAGCCCCAATCCCAAGGGTGTGAATAGCTGTAGCTGGTCACCCCAATAGCCAGCTGGCGAGTCACAGGATTTTAAGGGGCTGGGTGTTGCCCCCGTTGTCGTGCCAGCAGGGGTCGAAGACGGGGTAGACGGGGGCGCTCCTGAAGTCAGCGTTGTAGAAGGTGTACAGGGGGATCAAATTACTGGGGTCATCGGCGTTGTAGAAGGTCACTTCCCCGCCCGCGTAATCGAGATAGACCCTGATGATCTGAGGTCGGGAGTTACAGCGAAAGGGCATCGGGTTGGTGTCAAACGCCCAGTACGGCTTCTCCAGCTTCTCCTGGTTGTAGCCGATGAGCCAGTAGCCCTCGGCGCAGACCTCACCAGACCACGGCAACCACCAGTATTTCTTCTCAATCAATCTGCCCCGTCTCTTGGCTCGCTCCGAGACGACGCCCAGGTTCCAGCGCTTCTTCCGGCCCACGGACACCTCCCAGTAGTGCCGCCCCGCGCTGAAGCTCTGCCGGGCCACCACGCAGTTGGCCGTGTAGAATCGCCTCCGGCTGGGGCTGACGGTCTTTGTGAAACTCCCACATTTCACCTCCTTCCCGTCCTTCGAGATCTCCAGCAGGGGATGGGCCGTGGCTGGGTCCAGGGTTAGATCCTCCTTCTTCCCTGGGAAAGGCAGAGGCGAAGTTGGAGGGGTCATGCTGGATTTATGTGGCTGTTCCCCCACTGCCCCACTTGAAAGGGGCCACACGAATCCGACCTTGGAGCGTGTCTCCCAGCAGATCTCACCCAGCAGGGTCCGGCTGGTATTGTGCTTGGAGGGGAGACCTCAAAGGAACAGAGGAGGGGACTCAGTTGAAGATGCTGTCCCTGAGGGGTCAGTACTGGAGCAGTACAACACGGGGGGCACCGTGGTGCAGGGGGCAGGGTCGGGGGCACTGTACTGCAGTGGGCTGGGCAGGGGGCACTGTGCTTCGAGGCAGGGCTGGAGGTCTGAGCAAACAGTGCTGTGCTGAAGGGAGCGGGGTGCGGGTGGTGCTTGGCAGGGGGCGCTGTCCCCTCACAGTCAGTATTGACCCCAGGGGGCGTTGTGTTCGGACAGCAGCAAAGGGGACTAACGTTGGGACGGTGGGGGGGAAACGTCCTTTCCAGAGACAGAGCTTTAACCTTGGCTCCCCAGGCACATCCCAGCTCGGAGTGTCTGACCTGTCTCCCTAAAGGCATCCCGAGGTGCCACGTGCCGGGCTGTGCAGTGTGTGACGTGTGTTGCCACTGCCCGCTCCCCAGGAGATACTCACCGGGAAGTTTGCCGGAGGACAGCTTCTCCATCTCTCGCGACAGCTGGTCAATAGGACTGAAAGAGAGGAACAGGCTGGAGTATTTTCTAATCCTTGCTCCTGTTTTTGCAATTCCCTCCTAATTTGGCATCATCTGCAAGTCTTGTCACCATGCAGGGGGGCTCCTTCCCACCCCTCACCCCTCCTGTCCCTTCAGATCATCAGTGCAAACATTGAATTAAATCACTTACCTTCCAGACACTGGAGCACATGGCTAGGATAGGAGAGAGAGGGAGAGATGTTAATTAATTAAAAGCAAAATCCTATTCGTGGAGCTAGGAGAGGAGTGGAGTCTGTTGGTTAGAGCCAGCGGGGCTGGGAGCCAGGACTCCTGGGTTCTATCCCCAGTTCTGCTACTGAGCTGCTGTGACCGGGGGCAAGTCCCTTCTCCTCTCTGGGCCTGCAGGTCCCCTCCCACCATTTCTGTTTTAGCCATTCTGCCAACCTCCAGTCCTGAACCAAACACCAGATCCAAAGTGTATCTGAGACTTCTGAGCCCAGCGTACAGCCCCTGGCGCGGAGCCGTGCTGGCGTCATGACATCCTGAGCCCACCTGGAGGAATTGTCATCTACATGGCCCTTGAACTACATTGTCACTGTAGTGACAAACCAGATGTGCTCTGGCAGAGCTGGCGGGGTGGGGGAGCCTCGGGCTGGACTGGCAGGGGCTGCGGGTCGGGAGTGAGGGGCACCGGCAGAGCTGGG